TCCACCAGGCAATCTATCAGAATGATCAGTATGACTGATCATTCCACTTATTTTATGGGAAGACTTCCTTGCTGCTAAAGAACCCCAGATAAGACTTGGTTCTGAGATGCAGGCATACCCTTGAGGGTACCCAGGTTATTGTCTGTGTATGTAAGAGGGTGCTATCCCCACACAGCAGGAGCATCTGTGTGTTCTGTGGGGCAAGGTGATTGTGTCTACGTGTGTGACATGTGTCAGGATTTGGTTTGTGGAGTCTTTTTGACCACCACCATATTTTTGAGTAGATTCCTCAAAATAATAACAGCACTTAGATCCTGACCCTCTTTCTGGGGAGAAGAACTTGGATGGTCCTCATGGGACAGGCATCCAATTATTAGCTCCTGTTTCCCTCTCCTGGGCCTCTTCACGGCCTCTGTCCAAGCATTTGTGGATATGCACGTATACGTGTACACACTATGCTTAAAAATCACGGTGAACTATTTATAGCTTCCTGAGATACGTAGCGTTATTTCACTGTCACTCCTCAGCTATGCTGGTCCCTCTTCTTGGGACACTGGACAGTCTCTCACACCCACTCACATCGTTATAGAATCATCTGGGGTGGAACCTCCTCTCAGAGCCTTATCTGACTTCGTCAAGTTAGGTGGAGGCATCCCTTTTCCTATTCTTCCTGAACACATTCTTTTTTTAATTATAGCATTTTTGCACTATAGGTTAATCACCTGTTTATGAGCCTATCTTCCCAAATGAACAGTCAGTTTCTTGAAGACTCAGAGCACGTTTTACTAATTTCAGCATCTGCCAGGCCCAGCACAGGGCCTCGTATCTCAACATATATTGAATGAAGGGATGAGTGAATAAATAGATGGTTTGGGGTACAGGGCCAGGTCAAAGTGTAGTTACAGCCCCCAAAAACTAAGAGCTTTGTTAAGTCAGTGAGTGAAGGGTCTTACTCAGTAACCCATAAATCATTAGGACTTCTGAGAGTAAATAGCTCCCTAAGACAGGTGCTCCGGCTTGTATAGTATGCGAGAGTTGAGTGGCTAATAGATCAAGTAACTTGTCCACTTTCCTGGAGTGAAGTTTTGGGCTCACCTCCATTCAGAAAGCTGAGTACATGATGCTACATGTCTCCTTCAGTGGAGTTAAATTAAGCTTAATATCTTATGACTCAAGAGTTTGCACACCAAGGCTTGGCACTTAATATTGTAATTACTCCTTTTGATTAGAACTACCTTTCATAAGCAAATCGACGCAGTGATTTGACAAGCTTGAGGAATTGTGTTTGGAGCTCACCCTACGAGTTCCACAGGGACCTGTAATCATAGTAATTACTATTGAAGCGAGATTCCAGTTCTCGATGTACCAGGAGGTGAGTGAGTAAGAGTCACACGCTGCATCCTTTCCCATCTCAGTGTGGCTGAAAACAAGGGAAGTGGAAGTAAACACAGTGTGATCAGCCCTCGGCCGCATAGGCTGTGGTGTTTCTCCTTTGATAGGGCTCAGCCTGTGTGGAATTCACTGCATTGAAATGGATTCTTTAACACACACTTGGTGGCACTTAGCTCTTCTGGTCCATGCTAGTAACTTTTGTGAATAGATAGATAAGGCGGACATGAATCCACACACTGTCCTTTGTGGGGTTCCCAAAGTACTCTTGGGGTGAATGCGGAAAATAGGAAAAGCAGTGTCTGTCCTGACCCAGAAGGCTTGGCTCAGAATCACCGGCGCTCCAGTCAGTTGAAAGATCAAATGTTCCCTGGAGGATGAGTTCAGAGCTCCACTGGAGGTGTTCAGAGTGTTCTGAGCTAGTTTTTAAAGGACAGATGCCTCACTGCTGACAGGAGCCTTATTCCAAACCACAAGAGAGCCTTGCGGAGACAAAAGCCTTCGGCCTCCAATGGAGTGACTTTGCCCTTCTGTTCTATGGTCCTGGGGCTGATTTCCCCAGGAGGCTGTTGTGAGTTCCAAATGCTGAGGAGGAACAATTCCCAATGGGACTCACAAGGGGACTCTGAGAAAGAGTTGTTTCTTTTCCTTTTCTTGTAGGGATTGTTTATGTTAGGGGCCCCCCTACTCTCTGGAAACACGATCTCTTAGGCACACACCCCACAATTATGGCTTCCCACCGTCCATAGTGTAGGGGTTCCCTCCCCACGCTTTTCCCTCCATCATCCACAGCCCGAAAATCCATTTAAAAATTAACAACACAAGGAGGAAAGTGCCGCAAGACCCAGATTGCTAGCAGATGCTCGGGGGCGCTGGCAAGAGAAAAGGCAAGTGGAATGAGGCATTTGGAGGCCAGGGTTTCCTTCCATGCCTTTCTAAAAGGGTGCATGGGATCAGGTGAGGCACGATACACCTCCATCCCCTTCCTCACTCATTCTCCCTTTTGACAGATATCCTTTGAGGAATAATAATGTGCCAAGTCCACTGCTGGGTTCTGGAGCCACAGCGGTGATGATAATGAACATTTATCGAGTGTTTACTACACGCCAGGCACTCTTCTAAATATTTTGTTTATTAACATGTTAACTCAGTTTTTTTTTTTAAAACAGCCATAGTTTTTATCCTCAGATGAGCAATCAGAGGCACAAAGAGGTTAGGAATTTTCCCCAGTGTCACATAAGCAGTAGGAAGAGGGATCAGGCCTAGATCCTTGGCAGTCTGATTTCACAGCCTAAGTCAGGAGTCCACACACTTTTTCTGTGAAGGGCTAGATAGTAAATATTTTCCCTTCGTGGGCCATCTGGTCTCTGTCGCAACTTCTCAGCTCTGCTGTTGTAGCAAAAAGCAGTCCACGGCTGTGTTCCAATAACACTGTCTTTGTCGACACTGAAATTTGAATTTTATAGAATGTTTATGAGTTATGAAATATTTCGTTGATTTCTTTTCAACCATTTAAAAAATGTAAAACCATCTCTACCTCTCAAACCATGCAAGTCAGGTCTTGAGCTATAGTTTGTTGATCCCTGGCCTAAGTTGTGCTGGCTTCTCCATTAGTGACTAAGGATGAACTGCTATCCTAGTGGACGAGCCATGCAGACTTAAACCCCTCTAGAGAATCCTTCGTCTATGCATGTGCTGCTGGCTTCGTGTGAATCTCTACTTCTCATCCTCCATCCTCCTGTTGTCTAACTCATGTGTGCCTTTCAGATGCCAGCTTAGCCTCTATCTCTTTCCCTGATACTCATCTATCTCATGCCCAGCCCCTCCTTGTTCCAGGCATTCTGTCTCCTATGTCACAGCACGCTTACAGTCACCTAGTTACCCATCTGCTTCGGGAGGACCACGGGTCCCACGTACCCTAGCTTCCCTGGATTCTGTTTGGATCCTTGGCGCTGGTAGATACAAGACACAAGTAGTAGAATTAGCTTGTAGGTGAAGGAGTTTCAAGAAAGATCAATGAATAAGGGAACTTTTAACCTTTGGGTTGAGCTAAGGAGTTCTCCAAGCCAATAAGATGAGGAAGTTTGCTCTGGAGAAAAGAATGAACTGTGTGTGACAAAATGCAGGGATGAGGAAAATAATGCAAATAGGGGTGTTCAAGGAATCACCAGCGGCTGGCAGAAATGCCAAACGGAAAAGATGAGGCAGAGAGCATCTGTATCACCAATGCTCGGATCCCCACGGGACAGTTTAAGGGCAGTGAGCTCGGGAGTGACACGCTCAGAGTTGGGCTCCAGAGCAGCGGTCAGGAAACTAGGCCCCATGGACCAATTCCAGCCCAAGATCCCGCAGTGAAGAGGGAGCTGGAGAAGAATGTCAAGGGTGTGTGAGATCCAGTCTGTGTTCTTTCCCTCCACCACACTGCTCTTCCCCATCTGGAGATCTAGACATGGACTGGGGCTGGCTAGACGTCTCGGGGACCCTGCCAACCTAAACCCAATCCCAGCTGCCCTTGACGGACTTCCTTGGGGGAGGAGTGAGAGATGACTGGTGTAAGGCTGTCCTGTCATGCTCCTTAGTGCATCAGTGGTGTGTAAACTCGAAGCTCATGGCCTGTGTGCCACTGATCTTGCCACGATCTTTGGTCATGCACCTATTTCTCCTTGAGTCTTTTGTCCTAATCTAAGCATGGGCTACATCCTCTTGAAGGACCCTCATCATGATAAGATTCTGAACTTTGGAAGGATTCTACATGCCATATTAAAATACCTGTGGCTCAACAATTTACAAGTGATGGAAGTCCTGGAAATGAAGGAAGCAGAAAAGACATCACTCTCACCCTCAAGGTACAGCGGTGAGCAATGATCCAGGGCTTTAGGAAGGAAAGGAGGATCCACACCAGATTAGTTCTGAGGGGAGGGAGCTTGTTAAGGGGATTTAAAGTCTACTGTCTTAATAGTCCTTTGTAGTTCTTTGGCGCCTGGCTTTTCTTGAAGCTCAAAGTATTTTGCAAACATTAGCTCATTAATACCGCCAGCAGCCTTGTGAAGTGGGTAGTATGAATGTCTTATCCCCACTTGGGATTCTTGAATTTGAGGGGAAAAGGGGTTCTGGCTGGTGACTAGTGCCTAGTTGAAGAGAGGCCCCAGGGGTTGGACTAAATTTAATACTCATGTTTGTTTCTCATTCTACCAGAAAGACAGTGGATGGTGAGAGAAGCATTAGCCAAATCTGGGTACCAGCTCAAACTAGGCTTCTCCAGCTTTGTGAATTTGGACAAGTCCCTCAACTTCTATAAAACTGAGTTTTCCCTTGGGAAACGGGGGCTGATGATAAGAACTGTAAATGTAATGTAATGTCGTTGTTGTACTAAGTTGTGTCTGACCCTTTTGTGAATCTATGGACTATAGCCCACCAGACTCCTCTGTCCATGGGATTTCCCAGGCAAGAATACTGGAGTGGGGTGCCATTTCCTTATCCAGGGGATCTTCCTGATCCAGGGATCAAACCCTCATCTCCTGCAGCTCCCACCTGGGCAGGCAGCTTCTTTACAACTGAGCCACCAGCTGCTGTTGCTAGGTCGCTTCAGTAGTGTCGGACTCTGTGCGACCCCATAGGGAAGCTGGTAAATATAAAATGCATGTTAAAGTCATTTGATTATTGAAGTTTCAATCAAAAGATCTAAGATATTTTTCTTAAAGCTCACTATACATGTGGCTCAACACTATATGGGCTGTGTGTTCTCATGAGTGCTCTCTGAGGTGGGTGAGCGGAAGCAAAAAGGAGGTCCTGGAGACTGCACTGTCTTGGGCTGGTGCAGAAAAACCAGCCAACCAGTCTGAGTAGAGTTGTCTTGAGATAAAACCAAAGAAGGGGATTCACAGGAAAGGAGGATGATAGATGGTTAGAAGTTCATCTCACCTAGGAGCGTTGGAAGGTTTGAGCAGGGAATCAACCTAGACAGATCTGCCGTGTGAAGATTAACTGTGATACCAGCACGGAGAACCAAGGACAGCAATGGTATCGGCAACTGATGGGCAAGATAATCCACTGTGGCACGGGAATAAAATTTTTATAACATCTCCTTTCTATTTCCTAATTTTCATCCTTTGAAAAATTTACTTTTAGACATGACTTTTGTGTATATGTTTTAAAGGCAAATATATTTTTAATATATGATATTTATGTGTAAAAATTAACATAAAAAGCAAAATTTTTACTGATAGGGGCACATGATCTGAAGTTTGGAACCTACTCACTGCATTAGAAGGGGATGACCAAATGCAGAATTCCATCTGGAAGTTCTTTTTGTCATTCAGGGTGAGCTAGTAGAAGCCTGGATATAATAGTGGCTTAAGTGGAAACCAAAAGGAAAGAATATCAGGAACCTATCATACAGGAAGAAGAGGCAGGACTTAGTCATCTGGAGACATAAAGAGCAAGAGAAGAAGAGGCAAAGTTCTTCTTACTAGAGAAGAAGGAAGAGGCAAAGTTGGTGGTGAGATTTCAATCCTTTTTTTTTTAAATATAACTTATTTATTTTAATTGGAAGCTAATTATTTTACAATATTGTAGTGGTTTTGCCATACATTGACATGAATCCGCCCTGGGTGTACATGTGTCCCCCATCCTGAAACCCCCTCCCACCTCCCTCCCCATCCCAGCCCTCAGGGTCATCCCAGTGCACCAGCCCTGAGCACCCTGTCTCGTGCATCGAACCTGGTCTGGCGATCCGTTTCACATATGATAATATACACGTTTCAATGCCATTCTCCCAAATCATCCCACCCTCGCCCTCACCCACAGAATCCTTGGCCAAGAGAATGCTGGCACTACCAAAGAAAATGAAGAAGGTCAGAAAGGAGGCCTGATGGAGGGAAGGGTGAGCAGTTCTGCCTTGACTAATGGGATTTTAGGGTAAGGCAAGAGGAAACTGAGGGACTGGAGATGTGAGGCCGGGGCTTGTAAGAGAGTCCCAGCTAAAGGTGGAAGAGCTCAGTGTGGAGATGAGTGGAGACTGGGATCCCCTAGAGAAGCGGGTGGGCAGCAAGGGGTTGGTCCAAAAGGAGAGGATGTTCTCGTCCCCAACCAAATTCAGTCATAAGAAAGCCTACTGTCAGAAGCCAGCGATCATTTCACGTGGTCACAAGTTTACACACTCATAGAACACCAGAGACCGAATGGCCCTTCAAGACTACCTAGCTTATGGTTGACTTGGTCTAAGTAAATTTTTAAAATCACAATCTTAATTGACCCCAAATGTGTCAGTGAGGATTCTTAGTTGCAAACAACAGAATCCACTCTGGCTAATTTAAACAGAAAACAGATTTATTAAAAGGATATCTAAATTCTTAGAAAATCTCAAGAAACAAATTTGTGGCTGTGCTTCCAGGAACAGTGTTCAAAACCACAATACGATGGATTATTGTTTGGCAGAAGAAAGAAATGTAGTACAGATCCTGGCTATGACATCAACGAACCTTGGAAACTTCATGCCAAGTGAGAGAAGCCAGTCACAAAGGACCACATATTGTATGATTCCATTTATATGAAATGTCCAGAATAGGCAAATAGAAAGTTGATTCATAGTTGTTTAGGGCGGGGGCGGGGGGCATGGTGGGGAGGGTGGGAAGTTGGAAAGTGACCGCTAAGAGATATGAAGTTCCTTGGAGGGCTGATAAAAATGCTCTAAAACTTTAAATGAGTGAATTATATGATATGTGAATATATCTCAAAAAATTGTCACATATGCACATGCACTCCACAGAAAGGCTGATGAGAAGAGGATTATTACTGCCACCACTACCAATGCCAAATACAAGATGCCAAGAACTTAACTTTAGCACAGCCTCCACTTTCAGCATTGCTGGTGCCAGACCTGCCTCAGGGACTCAGTCAGGCAAGCATTGGCTCCCCTAAAGATTTTGGACCTCTGTCACCATTCACATGAGTCTATGTGATGCCTAGGAAGATTCCATTGCTTCAGAATGCTCACTTCCAATGTGAAGTCCTGTTTGCATGTATCCAACTGATGAAGCCAATAATACACTGTGACCTAACTGCCAGGTTCTCTGAAAATTGGATTTCTGATCACTACACAGGGAATCAGGAGAATGTCCCAAAGAAAGACTAGTTGAAAGATGGTGTGGAGGGAGGGATGAATAGGCAGAGCACAGAATATTTCTAGGGCAGTGAAACTACTCTGTATAATGATGGCTACATGTCTTTATACATTTGTCAAAAACCATAAAAGGTACAACACTGAGACTGAACATTTATGTAGATTCTGAATTTTATATGATAACTGTGCATCAATGCAGATCCACCTTCTGTAACAAGTCCGCCATTCTGATAGGGGATGTTGATAATGGGGGAGTTTATGCTTGTTGAGGGCAGGAGGTCATGGGAAGGTCATGGGAAATCTCTGTACCTTTTGCTCAATTTTACTCTGACTCTAAAACTGCTCTAAAAAATAAAGCATATTTTTTTTTAGAAAAAAGCTGAAGGACAGCCACAAATATAATTAACATCCACTGTTAAATTATATTGGGCTTGCCTGGTGGCTCAGACAGTAAAGAATCTGCCTGCAATACAGGAGACCTGGATTTGACCTCTGGGTTGGGAAGATCCCTTGGAGAAGGGAAGGGCAACCCACTCCAGTATTCTTGCCTGAAATCCCATGGACAGAGGAGCCTGGCTGCCTATGGGGTCGCAGAGTCAGACACGACTGAGGGAATAGCATTAACATTAAAATACACTATAGAGTTTCAGAATAACACTTAATGGAACTTGATAATTTTAAGGGCTCCCCTAAGAGTACTGTTTTAAAACTCCAGAAGTGAAAAGCAGCCATGTTATGTATAAAGAATGGAGGAGTGGTAACGGGGAAGGCACAGGCTCTAGAGTCTGGGTTTGAATTCAGGCCTGCCTCTTAGCTGTCTGATCTCTGTAAGTCACTTAACTTCACTGAGCCTCACCTGAAAAGTGACAACAGCAACGCCTACTTCCCAGGGTTTTATTTCTAAGACTAAGGCAATGGATGCTAAATAAATCTTAGCTTCTGCCAGGGAAGTGAAGAAGTGAAGTGAAAGTCACTCAGTCGTGTCTGACTCTTTGTGACCCCATGGGCTATACAGTCCATGGATTCTCCAGGCCAGAATACTGGAGTGAGCAGCCTTTCCCTTCTCCAGGGGATCTTCCCAACCCAAGGATCGAACCCAGGTCTCCCACATTGCAGGCAGATTCTTTACCAACTGAGCTACCAGGGAAGTCCCCCCCCTCCCCCCAAAGGGAAAACAAATTATGAAATGTAATTTGTAATTACATTTGTAAAATATAACTATTTCTGTCAATTTTTATTAGATTACATTCAACTGTTATCCTGATTCTTATGTTTTCATAATTTTTAAAAGCTAAACTATTACTATATTTTATGCTTGAAAGTGAAAGTTGCTCAGCTATTTCCAAGTCTTTGCTACCCCATGGACATTCTCCAGGCCAGAATACTGGAGTGAGCAGCCTTTCCCTTCTCCAGGGGATCTTCCCAACCCAAGGATCGAACCCAGGTCTCCCACATTGCAGGCAGATTCTTTACCAACTGAGCTACCAGGGAAGTCCCCCCCCTCCCCCCAAAGGGAAAACAAATTATGAAATGTAATTTGTAATTACATTTGTAAAATATAACTATTTCTGTCAATTTTTATTAGATTACATTCAACTGTTATCCTGATTCTTATGTTTTCATAATTTTTAAAAGCTAAACTATTACTATATTTTATGCTTGAAAGTGAAAGTTGCTCAGTTATTTCCGAGTCTTTGCTACCCCATGGACTATACAGTCCATGGAATTCTCCAGGACAGAATACTGGAGTGGGTAGACTTTCCCTTCTCCAGGGGAATCTTCCCAACCCGGGGATCAAACCCAGGTCTCCCGCATTGCAGGTGGATTCTTTACCATCTGAACCACCACAGAAGCCTGCAGAAGAGAACTCTAATTAGCAGCCAAAATATCATCTCATGGACCACCAGCTCCAGGAGTGGCACTGTGTGCCTCATGACCTACTCATCCTGTTACGGCATTCCAGGTCCCAACTCTGGTGACAGAAAGATAAGGGGGGAACTTCACATATTTTCCAGAAGCTTCCAGATTCAATTCACTTTGCAGGATTTGTCTCTCAACGCATGAGGCCCAGGTTCCATGTGGCTCTGGGGTTATTTAAAGCAGGATGAAAGGGAAAGTGTTAGTCACTCAGTCGTGCCGACTCTTTGTGACTCCATGGACTTTAGCCCACCAGGCTCCTCTGTCCATGGAATTCTCCAGGCAAGAATACTAGAGTGGGTAGCCACTCCCTTTTCCAGGGGATCTTCCTGACCCAGGGGCCCAACCCAGCTCTTAACACAGTGCAGGCAGATTCTTTACCGTCTGAGCTACCAGAGGAGTAGGATAAGTCAAGCTTATTGATTCCCTAGCTAGTATCCTTAGCATTCTCCAGGCGCCCTATCAAATCTGACCCTCACAAAACTCATTTGCCATAGGTTAATAAATAACCAATAGAAATGCTAAATATTTCAGGGGCTCCCAGTAGTGATATTCCATCTCTCCTGATTTTGTGTTCTGAATCTTTCTGATGCTCAGAACTTTCTTAGTTTCTGATGGCCTCATTAGTAGGCCTTCTTACACCAAGTCATTGACCCCCTTACTATTTTGGCAGTATTTGAGGATGACACGGCATGAAATGCTAAAGTGTTAGGAGCCATTCAAATAGCCGTAAAGACAAAAAACATTGTCCCACAACAGAGCACAAAAATAATTTGATGTGTCTCCATCTGACTCATACTTAGCCTCTCAGAAACACATTCTTGATGTATTTGACCACATCATTGACTTTCTCACTGTCTTCTGGGTGACAGTGATTTCCTTCGCTCTTAAATTCACATTCCTTGGTTTGTCATTAAGGCCTTTTCCAGCAGGGCCTTACCTGCTTCTTTAACTCTATCTCCTACTTCCTCTCAGTCACATCCATGCTGTGATTCAGCCACATCAAACCTCTGGCTTTTTCCTAACCCAGGTAGTCTTATCTCAGTCTTATCTCCTCACTCGGGTACACAGCTCCCTCTGCACAAAATTCTCTTTCCTTCTTCTTTCCCCTAAGACCCACTTAACCCTAACTCTTCTGGAAGACTTCCTGCCTTCTTTAGGGAAAAGCAGAGGCTCTCTCCGGTTTCTTTCGAAAACACAGAAGCTTCATTCAATAGTCAGTTCACAAACACTGGCGGAGGGCCTCGTATAGTAAACTCTGCACTGTATTCCCACAATCCCTATACTTACATCTATTACAGCGAGAGTCCACTAGGTATCATTGTTTGTTTACCCGTCTGGAAGGTGCAGCCTGGCGACAGACAGCCGTGGGGATTGTTTGGTTAAGACAATGGCGCTATTTCCTTTTCTCCAGACCCACCCAACTGCAGTGACCTCTGCCCTCTGTCTCTGAGCCCAGCCCAGAACACCAAGGGCCTTGGTTCCAGCCTCAGAGAATCCTAGGGAAGGCCACATACTGGTCCACTGCCTTCCAGCCCTGTACCCTCTCCCTCATGCATTAGTCTGGCCCACACGACTGGGTTTCTATCTCAGTCCCTCTGACAAGCATGCTATTTCACTGTTGCCATGGAATCTATGCGTCTGGATTTTTCTACTTTACCACTGGCTCATGCCAGTGGTAAAGACTTGTTCCAGGGAGCCCCAGTGGTGAAGTGGTCCTGTTTGCCACATGTTGGTGATTAAGAACCTTTCAGCTGATATTGTAACTGCCTATTCGAAGGGCTTGTGCCCCGTGTTGAATGGAATGTCGTACCTGGCATGCCTGGCCCTCTCTCCCCGCATGCTGACTTGAACTTCCCTCCTGGACTAGCATGTCCCTCTGGACTGGAGAGTCTGCCCTTAGATGTTCCTTCTAGCTGGGAAGGTGGCCTGCCATTTTAGCCCCTACCTTGCCCAGACAGCCTTTTCTTTCCTGACAAACTGTACTCAATAAGGACAAATAGAAATGTGTATGCTGAAGATATGCCATGCCCCAGGGAGAAGCCAAGATAACAGGAAAAAGGGGTGATTAAAATAGCCACAGAGAAAGACTTCGGTGGTATTCCATTAAACGGATAGGGAAAACATAAGAAAAGGGAAGCCTGTAATTGAGTATGAGAACTCTAAAAGAGCCAAAATATCAAGGTCTTTGAATGTAAAAATGAAAAAAAAAAAAAGGCACTTGAGTTGCTTTCATGTCTTGTCTATAGTAAATATTGCTGCTATGAACATTACAATACATGCATGCTTTTGAATTAGTTTTGTTTTCTGCAGATATACACAAGACTGGAATTGGTAGATCATGGGTTTCCCTGGTGGCTCAGATGGAAAAGAATCTGACTGCAGTGCAGGAGACCCAAGTTTGATCCCTGGATCAGGAGGATTCCCTGGAAAAAGGAATGGCTACCCACTTCAGTATTCTTGCCTAGAGAATTCACATGGACAGAGGAGACTGGTGGTCTATAGTCCATGAGATTGCAAAGAGTTGAACGTGACTGAGTAACACACACACACACACACACACACACGGTATTTCAAATTTTAACTTTTTTTAAGGAACTTCCAGACTGTTCTCCATAGTGGCTGCACCAATTTACATGCCCACCAACATCATATGAAGGTTGTCTTTTCTCTACATCCCACAGATAATATTTATTATTTGTAGGCTTTTTGATGATAGCCAGTCTGACAGTGTGACATAATACCTCATTGTGTTTTTGATTTGCTTATCTATAATAATTAGTGATGTTGAGCATCTTTTCATGTGTCTGTTGGTCTTCTACCCATTTTTTGGTTAGGTTGCTTGCTTTTTTGGCATTGAGTTGTATGAGTTGTGTGTATATTTTGAATATTAGCCCGCTACCTGCATCATTTGCAGATATTTTTTCCACCATTCCATAGGCTGTCTTTTCATTTCACTAATGGCTTCTTTTGCTGTTCAAAACATTTTAAGCTTGATTAGGTAAAAAAAAAAATGACATGAAGAAATGAAGTAACTTGCCTTGAGACTAGAAACTGAAAGAATGCTCATCAATAGGGAAATGGTTGAGTAAATCATTTCTCTTAGCTGTGAACTAACAGTCATTGTAAAGAATAAACTCAAACTATAGCAGTTGAGTTAGGAAGGGATTTTTCTAGAGGCCACGTTGAGTGAGAAAAGCCAGATACAGGTAAGTGTATATATTATGATCCCACATTTGT